AAATCAATTGGGGTCTCCCCGCGCAGGTTCGAATCCTGCCAACAACGGGCGGTAATTGTTGTCTGCAACAGTGGAGCTCATGCTCTGCGTGAGGTCTGCCACTGCAGATGCCTCTCAGCGGGTCTTAAGACCCGTTCGTACCATCCAAATGGTACTATATTGTCTATGTGGATGTCCCTTTGCAGTGGAAAATTTGTCACCCTGAGATATTGCTTGTGAGGCCAACAAAACGTGCCACTCCCAAGGTGTTACCTTCTTACAGTCAGCTTGAAATTGTACTCATTTTTTCAATCAGTGTGTGGATCGCGGTTACCCTATAAGACTGCTCAAATCTCTCAGTCAGCAAGTAGCACAATGCATCCACAAGCTCTTTTCGGTAAACCATAATTTCCACCGTTGCAGCCCCAAGGAAACCCGTGTACCGACAAAAAGCTCTGGGCACACGGAGGGGATGTAGCTCAGTGGTAGAGCGCATGCTTTGCATGTATGAGGCCCCGGGTTCAATCCCCGGCATCTCCAGCTTGGATAAGAGACACCATGGCTTGTCCTTGTGCGTCTTCAACAGGGGTCTGTTTTCAGTCTTCAAAAAAATGAACATTTACAATTGGGCAATATAGGGCACACAGCCTGTCCTGGACTTAACAAGCAGGACTTGAGGGACATAAGTTTCACAGAGATACGGAAGATACAACAGCACTCACAGTGAGTCCAACTGCTGCAGCCCCACAGACAAAAAGCCACTGGCACACACAGGGGATGTGAGTCTGGCTTGTCTCAAGTGCAGGCTAGTAGGTTTAACTCGGGAAGGGAGCCAATCTACCTACTAATCATGTAACTGGGATGGGAAAGAAAAAAAAAAGTCAACGGCAGCAAGTGGAACTGGAATTGTAATTCCAATGGCTCCGTTTGTAGCATATCCTATATGAATGAAGGCAACTTTAATTTGTCATAACAATACTGGTACTCATGTGTACAAAGCTTTCCGTCAATATAGTTGCACCTAACCACAGCTGCTTTCATGCACCCTGGCACCGCTCAGCTGCTACTACACCAACTTAATGTCAAACATACCCCTCTCCCAGTAAAATTCCTCCACTGACTTGAAATGCCAACTCACGACCCGATATTGTTTGAAAGATTGCTCTCCTCCGCGCGATGGTGGTATAGTGGTGAGCATAGCTGCCTTCCAAGCAGTTGACCCGGGTTCGATTCCCGGCCATCGCAGCTGCTTTTTAGTGTCAAACGGTTCAATTTCCTTTGGCACCTCCTCATCTGATGTTCTCCGGCATCCAATGCGGGAGGACACAATACACCTCCTGCTGTGTGTAGTTGTTGTGGCCGAGTGGTCAAGGCGATGGACTAGAAATCCATTGGGGTCTCCCCGCGCAGGTTCGAATCCTGCCAACAACGGGCGGTAATTGTTGTCTGCAACAGTGGAGCTCATGCTCTGCGTGGGGTCTGCCACTGCAGATGCCTGTCAGCGGGTCTTAAGACCCGTTCGTACCATCCAAATGGTACTATATTGTCTATGTGGATGTCCCTTTGCAGCGGAAAATTTGTCACCCTGAGATATTGCTTGTGAGGCCAACAAAACGTGCCACTCCCAAGGTGTTACCTTCTTACAGTCAGCTTGAAATTGTACTCATTTTTTCAATCAGTGTGTGGATCGCGGTTACCCTATAAGACTGCTCAAATCTCTCAGTCAGCAAGTAGCACAATGCATCCACAAGCTCTTTTCGGTAAACCATGATTTCCACTGTTGCAGCCCCAAGGAAACCCGTGTACCGCCAAAAGCCCTGGGCACACGGAGGGGATGTAGCTCAGTGGTAGAGCGCATGCTTTGCATGTATGAGGCCCCGGGTTCAATCCCTGGCATCTCCAGCTTGGATAAGAGACACCATGGCTTGTCCTTGTGCGTCTTCAACAGGGGTCTGTTTTCAGTCTTCAAAAAAATGAACATTCACAATTGGGCAATATAGGGCACACAGTCTGTCCTGGACTTAACAAGCAGGACTTTTCACAGAGTTTCACAGAGATACGAAAGACAGAACAGCACTCACAGTGAGTCCAACTGCTGCAGCCCCACAGAAAAAAAGCCATTGGCACACACAGGGGATGTGAGTCTGGCTTGTCTCAAGTGCAGGCTAGTAGGTTTAACTTGGGAAGGGAGCCAGTTTTACTACTAATCATGTGACTGGGACGGGACAGGAAAAACAAGTCAGCAGCAGCAGGTGGAACTGGAGTTGTAATTCCAATGGCTAATTTGTCATAACAATAGTCGTGCTGACATTAACAAAGGTTTCCCTCAATATAGTTGCACTTAACCACAGCTGCTTTCATGCACCCTTGCACCGCTCAGCTGCTACTACACCAACTTAATGTCAAACGTACCCCTCTCCCAGTAAAACTCCTCCACTGACTTGAAATGCCGACTCACGACCCGATATTGTTTGAAAGGTTGCTCTCCTCCACGCGATGGTGGTATAGTGGTGAGCATAGCTGCCTTCCAAGCAGTTGACCCGGGTTCGATTCCTGGCCATCGCAGCTGCTTTTTAGTGTCAAATGGTTAGATTTCCTTTCGCACCTCCTCATCTGATGTCCTCCGGCATCCAATGTGGTAGGACACAATACACCTCCTGCTGTGTGTAGTTGTTGTGGCCGAGTGGTCAAGGCGATGGACTAGAAATCAATTGGGGTCTCCCCGCGCAGGTTCGAATCCTGCCAACAACGGGCGGTAATTGTTGTCTGCAACAGTGGAGCTCATGCTCTGCGTGAGGTCTGCCACTGCAGATGCCTCTCAGCGGGTCTTAAGACCCGTTCGTACCATCCAAATGGTACTATATTGTCTATGTGGATGTCCCTTTGCAGTGGAAAATTTGTCACCCTGAGATATTGCTTGTGAGGCCAACAAAACGTGCCACTCCCAAGGTGTTACCTTCTTACAGTCAGCTTGAAATTGTACTCATTTTTTCAATCAGTGTGTGGATCGCGGTTACCCTATAAGACTGCTCAAATCTCTCAGTCAGCAAGTAGCACAATGCATCCACAAGCTCTTTTCGGTAAACCATAATTTCCACCGTTGCAGCCCCAAGGAAACCCATGTACCGACAAAAAGCTCTGGGCACACGGAGGGGATGTAGCTCAGTGGTAGAGCGCATGCTTTGCATGTATGAGGCCCCGGGTTCAATCCCCGGCATCTCCAGCTTGGATAAGAGACACCATGGCTTGTCCTTGTGCGTCTTCAACAGGGGTCTGTTTTCAGTCTTCAAAAAAATGAACATTCACAATTGGGCAATATAGGGCACACAGCCTGTCCTGGACTTAACAAGCAGGACTTGAGGGACATAAGTTTCACAGAGATACGAAAGATACAACAGCACTCACATTGAGTCCAACTGCTGCAGCCCCACAGACAAAAAGCCATTGGCACACACAGGGGATGTGAGTCTGGCTTGTCTCAAGTGCAGGCTAGTAGGTTTAACTTGGGAAGGGAGCCAATCTACCTACTAATCATGTAACTGGGATGGGAAAGAAAAAAAAAAGTCAACGGCAGCAAGTGGAACTGGAATTGTAATTCCAATGGCTCCGTTTGTAGCATATCCTATATGAATGAAGGCAACTTTAATTTGTCATAACAATACAGGTACTCATGTGTACAAAGCTTTCCGTCAATATAGTTGCACCTAACCACAGCTGCTTTCATGCACCCTGGCACCGCTCAGCTGCTACTACACCAACTTAATGTCAAACGTACCCCTCTCCCAGTAAAACTCCTCCACTGACTTGAAATGCCGACTCACGACCCGATATTGTTTGAAAGGTTGCTCTCCTCCACACGATGGTGGTATAGTGGTGAGCATAGCTGCCTTCCAAGCAGTTGACCGGGTTCGATTCCCGGCCATCGTAGCTGCTTTTTAGTGTCAAATGGTTCAATTTCCTTTGGCACCTCCTCATCTGATGTTCTCCGGCATCCAATGCGGGAGGACACAATACACCTCCTGCTGTGTGTAGTTGTTGTGGCCGAGTGGTCAAGGCGATGGACTAGAAATCCATTGGGGTCTCCCCGCGCAGGTTCGAATTCTGCCAACAACGGGCGGTAGTTGTTGTCTGCAACAGTGGAGCTCATGCTCTGTGCGGGGTCTGCCACTGCAGATGCCTGTCAGCAGGTCTTAAGACCCGTTCGTACCATCCAAATGGTACTATATTGTCTATGTGGATGTCCCTTTGCAGCGGAAAATTTGTCACCCTGAGATATTGCTTGTGAGGCTAACAAAACGTGCCACTCCAATCAATGTGTGGATCGCGGTTACCCTACAAGACTGCTCAGATCTCTCAGTCAGCAAGTAGCACAATGCATCCACAAGCTCTTTTCGGTAGACCATAATTTCCACCATTGCAGCCCCAAGGAAACCCATGTACCGTAAAAAACCCCTTGACACGCGGAGGCAATGTAGCTCAGTGGTAGAGCGCATGCTTTGCATGCTTTGCGGGTTCAATCCCCGGCATCTCCAGCTAGGATAAGAGACACCGTGGCTTGTCCTTGGGGTCTGGGGTCTGTTTTCAGTCTTCAAAAAAATGAACATTCACAATTGGGCAATATAGGGCACACAGTCTGTCCTGGACTTAACAAGCAGGACTTGAGGGACGTAAGTTTCACAGAGATACGAAAGACAGAACAGCACTCACAGTGAGTCCAACTGCTGCAGCCCCACAGAAAAAGCCATTGGCACACAGAGAGATGTGAGTCTGGCTTGTCTCAAGTGCAGGCTTGTAGGTTTAACTCGGGGAGCCAATCTACCTACAAATCATGTAACTGGGATGGGAAAGAAAAAAAAAGTCAGCAGCAGCAAGTGGAACTGGAATCGTAATCGTAATGACTTGAAATGTCAAGTCATAACCCGATATTGTTTGAAAGGTTGTCCTTCTCCATGCGACAGTGGTCCTCACATGATGTCCTCCGGCATCCAGTGCGGGAGGACACAAAACACCTCCTACTGTGCGCAGTTTTGGCCGAGTGGTCATGGCGATGGACTAGAAATCCATTGGGGTCTCCCTGCGCAGGTTCGAATCCTGCCAACAACAGGACATAATTTTTGACTGCAACAGTGGAGCTCATGCTCTGTGCGGGGTCTGCCACTGCAGATGCCTGTCAGCGGGTCTTAAGACCTGTACGTACCATCCAAATGGTGCAACATTGTCTATGCGGATGTCCCTTTGCAGCGGAAAAATGAGATATTGCTTGTGAGGCCAACAAAACGTGCCATTCCCAAGGTGTTACCTTCTTACAGTCAGCTTGAAATTGTACTCGTTTTTTCAGTGTGTGGATCGCGGTTACCCTATAAGACTGCTGAAATCCTCAGTCAGCAAATAGCACAATGCGTCCACAAGCTCTTTTCAACATCTCCAACTGAGCTAAGAAGTTTTACACTACTGGTATCACAATTCCAACTGATCTTTTTTTATGTAGTTCCTATGTCAATGAATGGAATTTTTCTTTGTCATAATAATAGTGGTAATTGACCATCTAATATTCTCTAATCTTCCTTTGTGCTAAACCAAACTGTGTATCAAAACCGGCGTAAGGATGATCAACACAGAGTCACTATGGATAATCAACATAAAGTCAGTATGTATGTTGGAATAATCTTAACCGATCTAGATACTGGTCCCACGAACACCAAATATTAGACTTGGCTCTTTCTGAAATTCTGCTTAGGAGTAACTGATCTGTATATATACACATATGCATGTTACGAAAACATTATTTTTCCCGCAGTGGGAGTTTAATGCAGGCCACTGGGTGCAACGTATGTTCATTACTAAATCATATAGAATAAAGAACTTGTCTTCATTCATTTGTAAACATCATAAAGGTGCTTAACCTAAACTTACCCTGAAAAAATGAAAATGAAGGATTACCTTCTCAATAACCTTAACTTTCCTAGTGAAATTGCAGATTAATTGACTTTAGCAAGCAAACCAAACCATGTAGCAATGCAGAGAGAGTTAAGCAATATCATTTTTTCAGTGTTAGAGGAAATGGCTTAATGCTGCATCTTGACTGGTTGATAGAAATGATCACTCCAGTTACTAAAATACACTTTTCCATAGAGACTTCTTGCACACATGTAATCTATTCAAAGCCCCATGAGCAAAAATATTGCCAGTGACTTTCTTAGTTTTTCTCATTTTGAAGACTGGTTTGGTGACAACATTTTTTCTCTGCATATGAACACATTGTTATGCTGTGATAATTGGTCCTTTATATCATCACAGTTTACACAACCACTACACAAAAAACTTAATAAGAGTCAATCACCTTACTTCTCCTTCTATCTATCTCTGTATAGAGAAGATGCCCAATGTGATATTTGCACTGACCCAACATGGAGGCCACCTGGGCTTCTTTGAGGGAGCTGTGCTGTTCCCTCAACCTCTAACCTGGATGGACAAAGTCATTGTCGAGTACACAGATGCCATTTGCCACTGGGAGAAGAACAGGCAGGCCTGTCAAAGGAGCAGCATCTGGGACAAAAATGTCTGCCTTCAGAGAACAAGGGCCAAACTTACTGGCTGACACTTACTATGTATAAAATATGGAGATGAAACTTTGGTAAAGACCAAATTAAAAAAGATGCACAGGCTCAGCCCTTTGTATCTGCTTTGGTACTAATTGTCTTACATTAATAAGTAATTCTTGGTAATGAAGGAAACCATTTGATGAATTGGAAGTTAATTTACAGACATAATCAATCTATGTGTAATATGATCCCAAACTGGATTTTTTTCTATCGTTTTTATTTAGTTAATCTTGAAAGCAACAAAGCTCTTGAATGGTCTCAGATACACTAATACTTGAATGTTCATCGGCTAGCTCAGAGACAATTTAGAAAAATCTTTCAATAATTAACTTCAAAGGTTTGTGACCAGATTTAGTTAAGTGCCTTGATGCAAGTCTGCAACAGACTTTCAGCTTTACATGAATCATCGAGCTGCTTCTGATGAGCAGCATTTATAACATGATTTGTGGTTAAAATGGTGATTTCCAGCTGTTGTTACAGTTTAAAATAATATCCGTTGTGTTCAAACTGTGATTTTAATTCACCATAATCTGTTAAAAGTTTTTTGATATGATCCTGTTTAATTCCACTGAGAGAATTTTGTTGTTCTCTTGACTACTCTGTCAGATGATAGGTTTATTTTTATGCTTTATTGCATTGTTTTGCGCATTTTGACAACACTCCAGTTCTTCACTTTGTTTCCATTGTGTACGGTGGACCACCAGCCTGCATCCATACTGCTCACTGTCAAAATGAAACAATTACATGCATTCAGGTTTTTAAGAGGTTCAGGGGTTATGGACATTCAAACAATTTATTTGACTTATTATTTTTATAACATTGAGTTCTTTGCTGATGAATGGAAATATAGGCTCCTCATACAAACTAGCTTTAACATTGTAGTTGCCAAGGTAAGCTCTATGAATTACCCCATCGAACCACCTATTGTTATTATGAATATGTTTCCTACCACAGAGAGATTGAAAGAAATTTCATGAATGCTCCCATTTCCAAGGATTAGAAAATGTCCTTACATACAGAGGTACAGGAGGTAGTGATGTTCAGGACAGAGTGTGATGCTTACAAATATTACAACAGAAAGAGAGCACCCCTGGGGCCCAATTATTAAGTGTATAAATGGCATATCCAGTATTGGACTCCAAACAAATGAAGTGAAGCACTTTTCTCCTCAATAAAAAGCAGCTATGTTTTAATGACTCTGCTGTAATTGACTACAATCCTTTTCAAGGCACATATCAGACAATACTTAACACAGAGCTAACTGATACATTTCACAAGTGATTAGAGATTGTTTTTTTTTGTTTGTTTGTTTGTTTGGTTTTGTTTTTATTGGGCTGTTTTGTCTTGGATTGTTAATACTACATGAGGTATGGACTTTGCCATGTGAATAAATGTATATATACTATAAAAACATAAAATGGGGGGTAAAGAGGAAAATACCAAAAACTTCCACACAAAATGTTGAACTCTCACAGCGTCTAATGACATAATTTATTTTTATGAGAAATGCACTGCAGAAGGTCTTAAACATTGAGCCAGTAAGAGGTGAATTTTATCTGCAGGAATTCCCTTTGTTTCCAGTCTCAATATCATTTATGAAGTATCTATGCTATGCCTCACTGTTTTGAAAGTAATTAGTTTCCTGTGAGTAACATTGTGTTAACATGTAATGCTATGGACTCTCTAATAACAACATTGTGCCCATCAAATTTAATACAGCTTCAGTCCTTTACCCAACCTTTGAGCAGAATCATGACTTCACTTCATCTTTACTGCAACAGATATGAACTGAACTGTTTTGCCTGCACTTTACAGTCCTATTGTTCAACATTGTATGTATGGGCATAACATTTATAATGTGTTTTGTTTGTTGTGGTTTACAGCTTTGACTGATGAGTCATATTTGAACTCACCCATGAATAAATACTTTTCACACACATTTACATGTGATCAAAGCTTTCCTGTTTCTGCTCAACAAATTAAAACAAAGACTGCAACTTATATTTATATACAGTTTATTGTACATTTAGTGACATTCTTATTGGTGCACCAGGTAGCACAGTGGGTAAAACTTCATAGTACTCATACTGAAGAACAATCTAAAAAACATGAGACAGGCACTTGTCAGAATATCAGATGTGTACTTCACATAGAGACGGGACCAGAGTGTGGACACAGAAATCTGGGGCCTGCCAGTTTAACAATAAGCTGTGTGGATGTACTGGGTTCACACAAGGCACAGTTTCACTCAGGAGAGACTGAAATTTTCACGCTTGTAGTGTTAGCGCAAAATGCTTGAATCTCTCTCATAGAATCATACTGGTGGTTTTGTATTTTTTGTCCATGAGCACTGATTGACTTTAAATATTTGTACAATAGGTAATTCATCATGTTTGGTCTTTATTTTTTGTTCAAAGTTACAGTAATGCAGCTTGTTTCGTGAGAGAAATAAAAGGATTGTTGCTCCTCAGCAAACTCTGAAACACATCAAAGGAGCTGCTTCATAAAAATACATACTGTGAACCATGAGCAGTGACATTTGAAAAAAATAATGATAATTAAGGTAAGGTGTAAATGGACATTGTGACGAATCACTATTTAAAAATGATTTTAAATTAAGTTTGATTTTCCTAGTATGATGTTATGAAATTAAATCAGTGGTTGCTTAGAATGTCAGAAACTATTCTTAAAATCCTGACATGCTTTGGAAATCAGTCAGTAATTTTGTAAATACATGCACCCAGTGATTAATGGTCTTAAACTGTAATGCAGAAAGAACTGAAAATTCACTGGTTCCACTTCCTGTTTGATTGTGCTTTGTGTGGACCACAGGTAAACAACATCACTTGAACTTTTCACACACTCTTGGCTTTCATTCATAACTTTTTTTTCTCTACACCCACACAGCCAGATTGGGCTTAGAGTCTCCACAGTCTATGGGGTTTTGCAATATGTACTGGTTCTGTGCCTGTTCGGCAGAGGGGTAGAGGGTGTTTAGTCAAACAGTTTGGCTGCTGTGGCCTTGCCATCATATTTAGCACCTTTTCCATCAAACTCGGATGGAAGGATGTCAGCGTCAAACTCCTTGTAGTAGTTTTCCAGTTCATCTCCATGGACAAACACCTAGGGCAAAGACAGCAGCTGTTAGACTGAGTGGGAATGCAATTTCAGGCGGTGCCTAGTATAATCTGGGGTCACACAAACTGGCATCAGCAGCCCGCTTGCTGCCTGCTTGCTAATCACAATCAAATTCAACGCTAATATCAAGTATATGGAACTCCTGCAATAATAAAAAGTATCACAACAAAGATTTGAAAGCAGTATGTTACTAGAAACAGTAAAAAAAAATGAACCTCCAAACTGGAGTAAAATCTCAAATTGGATTGTGAAAAGCAACATTCAGATAAGGTCTAAATAACTGGAAGGAAGGAAGCCGCAGTCACAGCAGAATCAGCTTTGTGAAACTCACTCTCTCTAGCAGCTTGCTCTTCATGAGTGGTT